TGCAATTTATATATTTGATAATCTAAAGCGTGTTCGAGTTAACCGTTTTTTCCGTTTTTTTTTTTCAACTTGCAGTGAAAAATAATCAACCACAAAATTTGCTAAGATGTTGGTTTCCGACCAGCTTCTTATAGGAGGAATTAACATCTCAGAAGTTCAAATTCATAACTTATCCATGGATACGGGTGAGTACATAATTTTATATAATTATGCGTATTTAGTATCATTTTCTTGCTAACCTTCATTTGTTAATTTAAAAATAGGCAAGGCAGCTCTCTTGACAACTCAATTGATATTCGCAACTGCTCTAGGTGCCCCATCCTTTTTGCTGTTTTGTTTTCTTCGAACTCGTTGGAACACGATGTTTGCACCGAGAAGCCGTCTAGCTAGGTGTGTTGCGCATGTGTATCTGCAATTTATTTTATATACTAGAAGACTTATCATTTTTATTTAAAGGCTTGCTCCTAAATCTCTCCCTTCTTCGTTTTTTGGGTGGATCATACCCTTGCTAAAAATGCCAGATGATGAGGTTTTGGATCATGTAGGCCTGGACGCTGTTGTAGTAAGTTGTTTTTTCATTGATCAGACATTTTATAGTGAATTTCATATTGTGACTAACTATTCCCTATAGCTTTTATCATTTTTTGGAATGTCATACAAATTATTTGCATTTTGCGGTCTTTTCGGATTGATTGTACTTTCTCCAATAAAGTTGACTGGCTACGTTTATGGTAACTATAGCAAAAACCCCCAAGAAGATACTCCAATAGGAATTCCTGAACATGACACGCCGGAACCATTAGAGTCTTATGGAATTTTGCTATCATATGTTATATTCACTTGGGTTTTCTCGCTTGCAACATTTTATTTCACGCATTATAATTATCGTAAATTTTCAAGAATGCGACGTCGTTATTACTGCAAATGGAAATATAATATTAATGCGAGAACTGTGATGGTAACCGTACTACCGAAGAACTTACAAACTGAATCTGAGCTCGCTAAATTTTATGATTCATTAGGACTTGGATCGGTTCAAAGTGTGGTTGTTTACAAGAATGTAAGAAAACTAAGGCACGCGCTTGAGAAGCGCACATATTATTTAAGGATGCTTGAAAGGGCCTACCAAGAATATTTGGGTAATCCTTGTGATTATCCTGGTTATGATCCTGATGAAGCACTCAAGGAATTTGAACAAACTAGACAAATTTCGGTTCTTTCAAATATTCCAAAACAACGTCCAACAATCCGGGCTGGTTTTCTAGGTTTATTTGGCAAAAAAGTTGATAAGATTGAGCATTACACAAATTTGTTTAACCACTATGACAAGTTAGTTGAACACGGTAGACATGGCAAATATATGCCTACATCAGTCGGATTTGTGACATTTGATAATGTTATTAGCGCGGTATTACAATCATTTTGATTTACATAATAGATGCACACCGAAAATGTGTACAAGGTTGGCGGCGCAGCTCTCCTGTACTACGAATCAGATTTCAAAATTAGGTATAATGTAACAC